GAACCAGGTAACATAACATGGTTAAGTAAATCCAACATTTCATTTTTTACAGTGTAGTGGCTGTGAGTCATTTGAAACACACATTGTGATTGCTAAGTGATTGTGCAAGATCTGATTTAAAAAAAATACCATTGACTATTAGACGCATGTTATCAAAATATCTCACAAATCCTTGGACAGATATGAATGAAACCCTCAGAAAGTGATCACTGGATGTAATTCTACTATAACCTTCTGAGTCAAACCCATTCAAGTTGCCTCCACAGCTGATCAGCCTTGACGAACACAAAAATGACCATAACTCAGTCATTTTTATAGATATTGAGGTAAACTTTGTGATGTAGTAGGGGGCAGGAATGCAGTACATATACGTCAAGCACTAACCACTTACATAAGACTTGATAATAATGTAGGAGATCTCCTATAATGCATTTTAAAAGTTTTGAACAAAATGACTCTTCTGCTGTCTCTTCTCATCACTGAGTTTCAAACCCTGGCATGAAAGACCAACATGCATTCCTTCAAGTAGGAATACCCCTTTAGTTTAGAKAAGTTTTCATTCAACGTTCTTTGTCACTCAGCTTATTAGTTGCTCTTTAGGTCTTACTTTATGCAAGTTTTAACAAACACTTTGCAGTTAAAACTCAACTAATTGACGCTGCAGTTTATTAACACTGTCTCTAATAAGAATCAATGATGAGAACTGACCTTTTGGATGGTTTTTTTAGTATTTTCTGTGAAAACTTTACCTCATCGCAAAACTCTGCTGCTGTCATACATGGTTAATCATCTGAATCTGAGGTATGAGGCTAGATTCTAGCAAAACAGTTTTTTATATCTATGTTTCATTAAAAAAATCAAGCCAATTCGTTAGTAACTAATTATGAACTAGTTAAGTAATTCCTTATCAAAACGCACTCCGCTACGATGAGCAGAATTATATACATGAATTTGTAGAATCGCTTGGACTTCTTGTGAGACGTGTGAGTTGATTCTTGTTACAGATCCGACCGCATAACTTCTACTTCTCCACCCTTCCTTTACGCCTCTTGAGAAACAAAGCTTTGACATGCATATCTAATCACACAGCTCATTTAATGTCATGGCTTAAAAAATGTCATGAAACACAGAAATAAAGCTGCAAACTGAAAACAGGTCCAGTAATTTTGAGCTATTTATTTAAAAATATATATAGATTTCTGTGAACCAAGCATAAATACTTCTGTTTTTTAGAGTATATGTTATTTTAAGTGATGCACAGTCCTGTGAGAGAGACTGAGTGTTTCTTCTCCATTTTGGCTGAGTAGCAGCCTACATGCCCTGTTCAAGGCTTCACTGCAGGTGCTGACAGTGATAGAACTTTTATACCTATGAGATCTTTTACATGGAAATACTAGGTAAAGTTACTATGTAGTTCAGATTGTATGATGTAGATTTATAGCACAAAAAGTAGAACAATGACACCGTTAGAAGCCTAAAACTAAACCAATATAGCTGATTTCAAAATAAAAGTTTTTCTTCTGTAAAGTCCAATCACTATGCAAAGACTTGTGCTCATTACAAGGTAGAAGTCTGATAGCGAACATCTAACACCACATATTCATCAGCTGTTTACTGCTATGAAGGAGTTCTGCACACACACACACACACACACACACACACACACACACACACACACACACACACACACAC